ATGCAATACGTCGTTTGATTTATTTTTTTTTAATTTAAATGAAGGTTTACCAAACAAACTAGCTTCTCATCAAACAGTGCACATATTATTTTATGACATTGGTTAACAACCCCACGACATGTCAACACTCTCCCTTCTCGGTCTTCGGTTCCCTATTACCGGCTTTCCTGCCCCCTCCTGCCTTCTAGTCCTTACCTCTGGACTCGTTTGCCCCTTTAGTCTTGTTTTTTTTTAATGGGCCTGTCTATTCTTTGGCTAAAGGGTGAACATTACTGAGCTGAAAGATGTGTTCGAGAGCCATACTCTTCAGGGTTTCTCCAGTCTCTGTCAGACCAGTAAGTCTGGTCTTTTTTCGTGAGTTAGTATTTTGTTCTGCATTTTTCTCCAGCTCTGTCCGCGACCCTCTGTTGTGCCATCATTTGATTTCTTTTTTTCTTTTTATTGCTTTCACTGAAAGTGTCATTATAATAATACTAAACAGAAGAAGGACATCATTGGCTGGGCTTATTAAAATCATAGTACGCATTTTCCAATTTCATCCTCCATTAAAAAAATCAGCTTATTTTTGTATCTTCTTTTTGGTCAAGCAGTTGCTCTTGGAAACAAATCAGAGAATGTTGAAATTTAATGTTTCTAAAATATGGTCTTATAACCCGCTGGAACTCTTTTAACTTGGGAAATGATTGGAAGCATAGAAATTTATGTTGTTTCTTTTTGCACATTATCATTCACTAATATCTCAAGGCATAATACATACTTAGGATGAAGATGTAAATTAATAGATTTAAATTAAAAATTCAGAGTGACATTTTAAAGCATTTTATTTTCCTATCTTTTTGTTATATCTAAGTCAGTTTCCATTGCATTTCATAAAATGACTGATAAAGAACTTACATTATAGCATGGGAAATGTGGGTGCTGTGTTTTTCTTTTCAAGAATAATGGTATTAATGACATTTTCTTGAGTCTGAAGGAGAGAGTTAGCAGAAACTTTGTAAGTGATTTACATTTTATAAAAGTTAGTTCCATCATTTGATTTCTTGACTGCTACTTCCCTGAGCATTGATTATGGATCCAGTTAAAGTGAAATCCTTGACAACTTCAGTATTTTCTCCCTTTGTTATGATATTGCTTGTTGGTAGAGGAGTGAGGATTTTTGTTTCCTTTATGTTGAGGTGTAATGCATACTGAAGGCTGTAGTCTTTGATCTTCATCAGTAAGTACTTCAAGTCCTCTTTACTTTCAGCAAGCACAGTTGTGTTATCTGCATATCAGGGGTTGTTAATGAATCTTCCAGTCCTAATGCAGAGTTCTTCTTATAATCAGGTTCTTGGATTATTTGCTCAGCATACAGATTGAATAAGTATGGTGAAAGGATACAAACCTAATGCACACCTTTCCTGACTTTAAATCACCAAGTATCCCCTTGTTCTGTTTGAACGACTGTCTCTTGGTCTGTGTACAGGTTCCTTATGAGCACAGTTAAGGGTTCTGGAATTCCCATTCTTCCTGATGTCACGCATAATTTGTTATGATCCACATAGTGGAATGCCTTTGCATAGTCAGTAAAACACAGGTAAACATCTTTCTGGTATTCTTTGCTTTCAGCCAAGACCTATCTGATATCAGTGATGCTATCCCTCATTCCACATCCTCTTCTGAATCCGACTTGAATTTCTGGCAATTCCCTGTTGATGTACTGCTGGAACTGTTTTTGAATGATCTTCAACAAAATTTTACTTGTGTGTGATATTAACAATAGTGTTCAATAATTTCTGCATTCCATTGGATCACCTTTCTTTGGAATGAGCACAAATATGAATCTCTTCCAGTCGATTGACCAGGTAGCTGTCTTCGAAATTTCTTGGTATAGATGAGTGAACACTTCCAGCGTTGCATCCATTTGTCGAAATACCTCAATTGGTGTTCCTTCGATTTTTAGAGCCTTTTTTTTTTTGGTCAGTGCTTTCAGTGCAGCTTGGACTTCTTTCTTCAGTACCATTGGTTCTTGATCATATGCTGCCTCCTGAAATGGATGAACATTGACCAGTTCTTTTTGGTACAGTGACTCTGTACCATCTTCTTTTGATGCTTCCTCTGTAGTTCAACATTTTGTTCATAGAATCTTCCAGTTCTTCAGTATTGCAACTTGATGCTTAAATTTTTTCTTCAGTTCTTTCAGCTTGAAAAATACCGAGCGTGTTCTTACCTTTTGGTTTTCTAACTCCAGGCCTGTGCACATTTCATTGTAATACTTCAGTCTTCTCAAGCTGCCCTTTGAAGTCTCCTGTTCAACTCTTTTACTTCATCATTTCTTCCTTTCATTTTAGCTACTCTACATTCGAGAGTAAGTTTCAGAGTCTTTGTGAAATCCATTTTGGTCTCTTCTTTCTTTCCTGCCTTTTTAATGACCTCTTGCTTTCTTCATGTATGATGTTCTTGATGTCATCCCACAACTCGTCTGGTCTTTGGTCATTAGTGTTTCGTGCATCAAATCTGTTCTTGAGATGGTCTCCAAATTCAGGTGAGATATATGCAAGGACGTACTTTGGCTCTCATGGACTTGTTTTAATTTTCTTCAGCTTTACTTGAACTTGGATATGAGCAATTGATGGTCTGTTCCTCAGTCGGCCCCTGGCTTTGTTCTGACTGATGATATTGAGCTTTTCCATTGTCTCTGTCCACAGATGTAGTCAATTTGATTCATGTGTATATTCCATCCGGTGAGGTCCACATGTGTAGTCGCCGTTTATGTTGTTGAAAAAAGGTATTTGCAATGAAGTCGTTGGTCTTGCAAAATTCTATCGTAGTTTCTAGCACCAAGACCATGTTTTCCAACTACTGATCCTTCTTCTGTTTCCAACTTTGCATTCCAATAGCCAGTAATTATTGATGCATCTTGATTGCATGCTTGATCAATTTCAGACTGTGTTTGATCAATTTCAGACTTGGAAGTTGGTAAAAATCTTCAGTTTTTTCATCTTTGGCCTTAGTGGTTGGTGCGTAAATTTGAATAATAGCCATATTAATTGGTCTTCCTTGTGAGCGTATAGATATTATCCTGTCACTGACAGCGTTGTACTTCAGAATAGGGCTTGAATTGTTCTTTTTGACAATGAATGTGACACCATTCCTCTTCAATTTGTCATTCCTGGCATAGCAGACAATGTGTTTGTCCGATTCAGAATGGCCATTACCAGTTCATTTCAGCTCACTAATGCCTAGGATATTGATCTTCAAGTGTTCCATTTCATTTTTGACACCTTCTAGTTTTTCTTGTTTCATACTTCGTACATTGCACATTCCGATTACTAATGGATGTTTGTAGCTGTTTCTTCTCATTTTGAGTCATACCACATCTGCAAATGAAGGTCCCGAAAGCTTCACTCCATCTATGTCATTATGGTCTACTCTACTTCAGGGAAGCAGCTCTTCCCTAATTGTATTTTGAGTGCCTTCCAACCTGAGGGGCTCATTTTCTGACACTGTATCAGACAGTGTTCCACTGCTATCCATGAGGTTTTCACGGACAAGTTTTTTCAGAAGTAGATTGCCAGGCACTTCTTCCTCATCTGTCTTAGTCTAGAGGCTCTGCTGAAACCTCTCCACCGTGGATGACCCTGCTGGTATTTGAAATACTGGCGACATAGCTTCCAGCATCACAGCAACACACAAGCCACCACAGTAAGACAAACTGAGAGATGAGTGATGGAAAGGATTCATAGCATCTAAAAAATAATAAAAGTCATTAGGAACCATTTGTTGGGTGGGGAGTAGTCAAAGGATTCCAGAGGAATTTCTGTCAGGATGGATTTTGGAAAGGTTAATTAGGCATTTGCTAAGTGGGCAGACAGAAAATAGCTAATGTAAAGGCCTGAAGTCATGAAATAGCATGCCGCATGAACTATATGAAATTCAGTATCGCTGGATCATACATTACTGATTAGACTGGATTGACTAGGTCCAAAAGGGCGTCCTCCCATTTCAAGGATTTGGACTTTAAAGTGATTGGAAGCTAGTAGAAGAAATTAAGCAAGAAAAAGACAAATTTTGATATCAAGCTATTTAATACTTTTCTTGTCATATTAATAACAAACTAGCGTAATTTTGATAACTAATTGAATGATGTTTGGTAATATAGTATAGAACAGTGGTTCTTGCCTTTTTTCCCCTATTCTGACAAATACAAGAAATACTTTAAATTCCCATCACTCTGGCAGTGGTTCTCATGGAGGAACAAACCTCTGTGGCAGGAATGTTCTCACAGAGTAATAGCTGTTATCATTATTGGCAGTGACTTCTGACACTTCAGCTCTAAATATCACTCCCTAAACTTTTGGTAAAGTAGTTAAATCGTCTGTAAACTAGAACTATTCTAGAAGCAGTCCTATTCAAAGACCTTGTCATTTTATTTTATATCAAACCATATGTAATTGCTGATACTTGATCATTTTTGAACTACAAAAATGACACTTTCATGTGGCTCAGCTCAGTATATTTAATAGTATCTTTATATTCTTTATAGTGGTCGTCTAGTTTATTTGCTTTTGGGAATGGACAGCAGGGACATAGCATGTGTTGTCTTTTATCACGTGTATCTGTATTAATATAAACCCAAAAAAACCAAACCTGTTGCCGTCGAGTTGATTCTGACTTATAGTTACCCTGTAGGACAGAGTAAAACTGTCCTATAAGGGTTCCAAGGCTGTAATCTTTACAGAAGAAGACTGCCACATCTTTGTCCCGCAGAGTGGCTGGTGGGTTCAAACCACTGACCTTTCAGTTAGCAGCTGAGCACTTAACAGCTTCGCCACCAGTGAAGGATAATCTCCTTTCTTAAACTTTAAATGTGGAGCTTTGATTATTTGTGATTCTAAAAACAATCCAAAAAAAAAACAAATCGTATTTCTTTAGAAAATCTAGGTCTTACTTTTATCCAGGCATCTGTTTTTGTCAGTAAATTCACACAGTAAATTATTGCTTATGGTTCCTTCTGTCAGCTTTTAGTTTGGATGCTGAACAGCCTGATTATGATTTGGATTCTGAAGATGAAGTATTTGTGAATAAATTGAAAAAGAAAATGGACATCTGCCCATTGCAATTTGAAGAGATGATTGATCGTCTAGAAAAAGGCAGTGGTCAGCAGGTACAACTTCATTGTATATGTAACACATATGTGTATACATATATTTATATACATACCAGTAACTATATGGAAACAGTAAGTTGGGGGAGGGTTAAGCAAGCAGGCTCTGGAGTTGACAAGCATAAATTCAAATCCCATCTCTGCCAATTACTAACTTGTATTATCTTGAGCAACGTATTTAAACTTTTATATCCCTCAGTTTCCATATCTGTAAAATAAAGATTATAAACATCATACAGTTATTGTGAAGATAATATATATGAAGCCCTTAGCTCAGTGACTGACATGGATAAGATCCTTCACATAAGCTTGCTATCGTTTATACCACTGTTTTGATTGTCATTTAAGTTTAGAAATACATACTTTCAAAACATATGTTTTATATGAAAATGACGTAATGATTTTACATTTAGCCAGTCAGTCTACAGGAAGCCAAACTACTGCTAAAAGAAGATGATGAATTAATTAGAGAAGTTTATGAATACTGGATTAAAAAGAGAAAAAATTGTCGAGGACCATCTCTTATCCCATCAGTAAAACAAGAGAAGCGAGATGGTTCCAGCACAAATGATCCTTATGTAGCTTTTAGAAGACGTACTGAAAAAATGCAGACTCGAAAAGTAAGTGAATTTGGGAATTAACACTGTTCTTTCTAATGTAGGAGACATTATTATAGTTAAAATATCTTAATATCTGAAGGCTGTAATTTGTATTTAAATACAACTTCCTATACAATTATATTAGTTTAAAATAAATTAGCCTTAAGATATATCAGTAACTGTGCTCAGAATACCACCAGTTAGAAATGCTTATTGACACTAAACAAGCAACTTCATATTTGCAGAATCGCAAAAATGATGAAGCCTCTTATGAGAAAATGCTTAAGTTGCGTCGAGATCTAAGTCGGGCTGTTACTATTCTAGAAATGATAAAGAGAAGAGAAAAGAGTAAAAGGGAGCTATTGCACTTAACACTGGAAATTATGGAGAAGAGGTAAAGTATATTTTAATAGCATTAGGAAATACGGTACCAAAAACATTTTGTATGTTAATTTCTTTCCTAAGCAATTATCTATAACTTCAGAAATACCTTCTTTTAATAAGAATTAGAGACTGCTTAGATATGTGAAATGATATTATACTTTATGTAATTTACCTGTGTTCCTCTATTTTCTTTAAAAAGTGTTTGTTCAGTAAAATTAAAATATACCGGTATTTTCATTTTGAATCTTATCTTTTTTGCCCTTATTTGAATTGTGTGCAGTGTTATGAGGGGGAGGGGAAAGAACATTTGTCACTTCTGAGATTTTTGTTTTATTCAGTTGATGATACCAGTCTTTTGTTTTTTAAAACATACTGGTTTTTTTTAATAGAGAAGTGTAAAGAAATGGTTGTGGGAAGGCCCATAGTCTTACGATTCAAATAACCATTCAGTGCGCTACATGATGAAAACTGGAAGCCCCAGTGCCCGTTCCTAAAGAAAATTACTGTTAAATTTCTTGTGATTCCTTTCAAAAAGATTAGTTTTATAGCACAGGCAATTTAAAATTAACAAAATTTCCTTAGTACCATTTTACACATTAGTTTCAACTTCCCCACCAAATCTTTCACCAAAATTGCTAAGTTAAAATTCAGACCTTTGTTTTTTTCCCACAGTCATCTGTTTGTGGTGCTAAGATATAAACCAAAATGTAGAAGGAAGAAACAAACAGAATCATAGTTTTTAATTTTAATCAGCATTCAACATATAGTTGAGATTTAGCTGTAATTTTATCTTTAAGATTAATCAGTGTTTACAATTAGTCTGTTATTAATAATCATAAGGATAAGTACTTACCAAACTATGTAAAACTTTGTTTTTTATCATTTCAGGTATAATTTGGGTGACTACAATGGAGAGATCATGTCCGAGGTTATGGCACAGAGACAGCCAGTGAAACCTACTTACACCATCCCCATCATTCCTATTACTAATACTAATAGCAATCAATTTAAACATCAAGAAGCAATGGATGTGAAGGAATTTAAAGTTAATAAGGTGACTAAAACTTTTGTGATAATAGTATCTGGTGGGAGCCGTATTGGATGATACATTCTCATTAGAGTAAGAGTGGAGAAGGAAAACGCATGTAAACCTTATCCAAAAATATGCTGCAAAAATTTTAATATCACGGCATTTTATGAGAAAAAGCAGTAATTAAAATTTGGTTATCGTTTTGTGTTATTTCCTTATCTTTTGAAGGGAAGATATTATTACTGAATCTGATAAAAGGAATATTTATTAGTTGTAAGATTATGAAGTATTGAAATAATTCAGACAGAATATGGAAACTTGGGGGGAAGGATATGAAATCCTTCCTAATATGAATTGTGTTTTCTGGACACATCAGTGTTTAAGTGGAAGAAGGAGTAAAGAGAAAATTTATTTTATGATGTAGCTATTTTATATTTTATGATGTAGATAATGATTTAGAAATGGAAAATACTTGACAAATTAGTACTTAGCCAAATAATTCACAATTTGTGAAGAATAAAATTAGTCAAGGAAAACTAAGGGAGATTAAGAGAGGGCAGTGAATTTGGTAGCACCTTCTTGGAAAGTATGCACCTGGAGAAAGAGTAATGTATTTTTCATATGAAGTTTTTACCATAAAACTTAAAATTCACCATACCAGTTCAGTTTAATGAGTTGGGTGATTCTGCCAGTGGTCTTTGTTGTAATGTCATGGTCCTGCCATTTGTTTTGGTGTGATAACATGAACCTTCAAACCCGAATGTACAAATAACCATACCAGATATAGTAATGATTTCCCCAGCCTGGTGTTTCTGTCATTTAGAGCAATACCAGGGACCATTTTGTGAGGAAACATGGACACTTTGGTTTTAAAAAAAAATGTTATGGAGAATTAAAGCGGTATTCCCTAGACAATCCAGAAAGTTGGGATTATGCTCCAAAATATTGTTTCCTTTTACCCATAGAAATATATCCATAAACACATTTAAATTTATCTTGTTTTTGTGTTCCACATTTATAATTTATTAGTCCTAAATATACCTTTAAAATTTACTTCAGTATTTTAAGTCTTTGGTCTTCTGTCTGAACCCTATGTGACTTTTTAAATTGTTTCAGTGCTATCCCTCAGCCTTTATATTTTGATATTAAACTCTTTTAATTGTCCTATTCTGTAGTTTCTTCTGTACATTCCAGAAATGTGAGGTATCACACTTGAAAATGCTTTACTTTAAATTCCTCCAAATTAAAACAAAATCTTTAATGGGGCTGTTTAGTTATCTTGGTAATTTTGATTGTAGTTTAAATAACTGGGCCCAAACTTCACTAAATAAGATTTTGAGTTACACTTGTAAGAAAATTAGTAGATAATAATGCAGTCTTAAATCACTGTTCTAGCTGACCATTGATAATAAAAGAAGCGTTATGCTATAAACTACATAAAATTTATATAAATATTTAGCATATTTACATAACTGTGGTGTTTGCCATGATCCTTTTCTTCCCAGCAAATTGCCTGTAGTCTCTCTTGCCTATTGCCTGCATATCAAGTTCATGCCTCTCCTAGCATTTATTGTGATCTGCCATATTTCTAACATACTCTGTTCCATCAACTCAGTCACTCTTGCATCTCTGTATTTTACCATTGTGTTTCCCTAATTTAATGATTTCATATCATTATCCTCTAAAACTACTCAAAATAGAAGTCCACTCTGGAAAGCTTTCATTGTTCAGCTAGCAAATCCTTACCACTATTTTTATACCCCATTGGCGTTAATAGTTTTGTTTTTCACTATGTTAACATTTGCTTTGTGTATGTGTAAAATCATTTTCATTATTATTTCCTCATACTGGTTTGTTACTTCTTGAGAGTAAGGAGTAGACATCCCTTTTTTTTTAGTTCTTTCCTAGAATTTTCATAGAAAATTAAGAAAAAGAGTAACCAGCAGTAAATACCTATTGTAGTTACAGGAATTAATAAGCTGGAGAACTTCTCTTCTTTTACTTTAATTGAAACAAAATAGTTTGTGGCATTATGTTTAGGTTGCAGGAACATGTTTGTGCGTTCACAGAGGACAACCTCTCTAAAATCTTACAACATAAAATGACCAGACATAAGTCTTGTGTCTCTTAGGAATATGAATGCCTTCGGTTACAGCAATACACTTCTTTTTAAAATTTCCCCCTAAAAACTGCAGGTTTATTGAATGTAGTTTCTTGTGTTTATTTAATTCATGACTTTATTGTAGCAAGATAAAGCTGATCTTATCCGACCGAAACGTAAATATGAAAAGAAGCCCAAAGTCTTACCATCGTCTGCTGCTGCTACTTCTCAACAGACGAGTCCTGCTGCACTGCCAGTCTTCAATGCTAAAGATTTAAATCAGTATGACTTTCCCAGCTCAGATGAAGAACCTCTCTCCCAGGTAAAATATAAGAATTGTTCTATGAATATGAAGAAGGAATATAGTAAATCACATGTTTTAACCAAACCACTTTATTTGTCTTATTTACAGGTTTTGTCTGGTTCTTCAGAAGCTGAGGAAGAGAACGATCCTGATGGTCCTTTTGCTTTCCGTAGGAAAGCAGGCTGTCAGTACTATGCTGTAAGTTTCAGGTTTTCTTTGTAAGTAACAAACTATTTACCTTAACTGACAAAGTGAAATAATTTTTTTTTTTTTTTTTAAGCCTCACTTAGACCAAACTGGCAACTGGCCTTGGACTAGTCCTAAAGATGGAGGACTAGGGGATGTGCGATATAGATACTGCTTAACTACCCTCACTGTACCCCAAAGGTGCATTGGATTTGCACGAAGACGGGTTGGGCGCGGTGGAAGGTAAGGCATTTCCACATTTACTTAGTATAGGGATATCTTAGAGAGTAGGATAATCGTATCTAAAGTTTCAATTGAAGTAATCTTTCTAAACAGCTCATTTAGTTCCCATTTGCTGTTCTTAACTGATATGTTGGCTGAAATATTTTTGCCACTTTGCTACCTGGTTCTTACACAACCACAGCTTTTTTAGTACATAACTCTGTTGGATCCCTAATGGATCTGCTTTTCTCTTTAAGATTAAAAACCTCAAATTATCAAAGGGTAGAATGCTGAGCAAAGTCAACAGGTGAAGACAAGTATAAATCATGATTGCACAAATTGTTTTAAGTTAAAGAAACTACAAAAAGTTGTTTTAGGAGTCCTGGGAGAAATTGAAAAAAGAATTAAATAGGCCAAGAAATGTGATGTGAAATAGACGGCCCAGTATACTGGGTTGTTTAACTTGTCAGTGAAAAGCCTTCAGAATCTAGGCATGACCTGTTCTTGACATCCTAGTTTGTCAAGACCTAGTTCTCTTCTTCCTGTGTTTAAACCTGACAGAAGTCCTTCCTACTCTACGTGCCTTTTTATGTGAGAAATTGTAGCGGGGGGCGGGGGGGAGGAATTGCAGAACACATAGAACCAAAGAAAAGAAATGCTACTAATGTCTAATGTGGAATAAATTAAAAGCTTAGATATGCTTCTTTCATTTTTAATTCATAATTGTAACTTTTCGTCACTAAAACATTAGTTTAGGTAGGATTATTTGGGCACTAAGTATTATTTAGCCCTTTTTCTTCCATTATCCTGTTGACATCAATAGTAGAGACAGTTCTCTACACTGGCTGTATTTTATTCTATTACTAGTGTTAATTAGTGTTAGAATTTTTAGATAATTTATACACGTTATATATATCCTCTAGCATAGTGGATCACTAATATTTTGTCTGTAGGAAATTTTAATGGTATAAAATATCTCAGATCCCATACTTTTTTACTGCTTTTCTTCTCTCCCCCGACCCCCACCAAAAAAAAAGAATGAAACTTACTTAAATAGAGAACAAGTATGTTAGCAACATTTTTTATTAACTGTTTGTTTTAGTGCTTTGTGTAGTGGAAGTGAAAATCTTTTTAGTTAAAACACATTTGGAAAAGAATGCTGTCATATATTAGTAACTTATTGGCAGATCAACCCATAGAACTTTTAAAAGACTCTTCTTGTTGTAAAATGAACAGTGTACATGTTCTTTAAGGTGACTCATGGTGGGTTACCTTAATTTAATAGGGTCATTATAAAGCAAAAGGAAGAACCTTTATCAGAAATCGACATTTTAGCCTGTAGAGCCAGGTACTGAAATGGTCAACTTTTTATAGTTTTTAAATATTAAGTATGGGTTGGTTTTGGAGGGGAAAGGAGGAGAAAGAAAAACCTTTTTTATATCACCCTTTGAATAACTATTTTAAATGTACATTTCTTGCCTTATTTTTAATAGGGTCTTACTGGACAGAGCTCATTCAGACTATGACAGTATGTTTCGCCATCTGGATTTGGAAATGCTTTCTTCTCCACAGCATTCTCCAGTCAATCAGTTTGCCAATACCTCAGAAACAAATACCTCGGACAAATCTTTTTCTAAAGACCTCAGTCAGATACTAGTCAATATCAAATCATGTAGGTGGCGGCATTTTAGGCCTCGGACACCATCCTTACATGACAGTGACAATGATGAACTCTCCTGTAGGAGATTATATAGGAGTATAAATCGAACAGGAACAGCACAGCCTGGGACCCAGACATGCAGTACCTCTACCCAAAGTAAAGGTAGCAGTGGTTCAGCACACTTCGGTACGTTTATTTGTTATTATGTACGTTTCTATAGAAATGTCATTTTTTGAGTATGTGGTCTATTAATTTATGACTAGAAGTAGTTTTTTTACCTCTTGAAACAGAAAAAAAAAACAAAAAACAAACCTAGGTCTAAGTATTTATTTGAATCCTGTCACTGTAGGGAGTTTGTATGTGTCTTTATACAAAGGGGGGGTTTATGATCAAATGTATGACATTTGTTTCCTGAATGCACTCTGTGAATGACAGGATTCATCAATTATATTTTCAAATAATATGGAAAAAAAAGGCCCTAAGTTTTTACTGTTCTATGCTCAGACACTTCTTTAGTCTTTTACCAGTCTGCTTAAAAGTTAGAGATCAGCAAGGCGATAGATATGTGTAGCCTTATCTGCTGAGGCAGTAATTCATAGTCAATTACAAGAAACTAATTTTTCAGAGAAGAATATTTAAGTTAAAGTGTTACTGGAATGTTTTTGGAAACATTTTCAGATAATATCTACTTTATCATTATGGCTGCGTTATGAAATGTCTAAATAAATGCCATCTTTTTAAAATTTTCATATAATCTTAGCTTCCTTTTCTAAAGCTGTGTTAAATAAACCTGTGTTATTTGAAACATATAGATTATAGAAATTCACTGCTAAAATTATGTTACTACAGATTTTTGTTAAAGTATAGATTTTGAAAGGACTATAAATACATTTCTTGTGTCTCTCTAATCACCTGGTAGGGTTACATTGAAGCCTTCTCATAAATATGAACAGTTGCTTTATTCTTAAAGACTTCAGAAAATGTTCTATAAACTTAATTTGTTTCATGGTTAAAAAATAGTACTTCTATGAAGTGCAAACGTTTCAGCTCATAAGAAATAATCACGTTTCAGAAATCAACTAGAAGTCAATTGAAGTTATTCTGAATAGATGTTTGGCCACTGCTCTCAAGGTCTAGCAGATTGTTTATAATCCAGTTAAATTTTAGAGTTCATGTCACAAAGAGCCAGTTTATGCATTTATAGGCTTAAAAATCAAGAGGAAGAACTTTTCAGTATGAAGGCTTAGTGTGAGTATAGAGATTTTAAAATGTAAACTTGCAAAATGTATTCCTTTTTAAGTTGTATAAAATTCTCTGAGACATCATAGAAAATAGGGATGTTCCATGTCCTCTACTCCTTAAAATAGAGAAGTTTAAAAATGTATTACCAAACTTAGGATCTTATAATGTTCTTTTCTGTTTAAATTGTTTTGCTATACTACTTAAGTAAGCATTAATATTGTAAAACTTAATTTGAAAATTCTCTCCTGTTTGCCAAAGAACATTAGAAGATGAACATTGAACAATGTTACTTTACGCAAAGTTTTGCTGGGGGGAAAAAACTTTAATAACCTTGTATTTGTATTTCTTTTTAATCATTTCCTTCTTTTTATATATGTGATAAAACTAAGAGAAATAGGTTTGTCAAAATTTTTTTTTTCTGTTGCACTTAATTGTTTTCATTCTTAGCTCTGAATAAATTTCCCCTTAAATTTTGCTGGATCTTCCTGTATACATAGGGAGTAAATGCCTATAGGATATTAATGTGGTAGCACTTTATTTATTCCTTTATGTTTGCAAATATTCCAGAAACCTAATCTCTATATGCTCCATAAAGTATATTACAATAGAGTCATAAGTGAATTCAACTGTAGGCCCCTAGCGGAAGAAAGAAAAATTTAGCAGTTGTAAATGTTACACAAGATTCTAAATACCATTCCATTAAAAGAATGTATTCTCCCCAGTGGGCCAGAAATGGGAGAAGTGAATCTGCTGTTCCCTCCCTTAGTATCAGTGCCTATTTTGCCACTTCATTAATAGTGTAAGCATCTCACCTGGCTTAGTGTAATTTAGTTTTAAAGGTAATTTTTTTCCTATACAGCATGGCCCGCAAATACAAACCAAACTACTGCATCTGGTACTCAACCAAAGAACTTTGATTTAGTCTGATGCCTGTAGGAAAACTGGCTGTGTTGAGCTTGTTGAAGGAGATGGGTCTCTCTAAAGGAATATTCAAGGCTTAACTTTAACCGTGCTGACTTTAGAACTTAACCATTGTGTGAGATACAAGGCCAGTGGATATACTTCCTGCTGCTTAAGCCAAATATGGGGTTTATAATTTTTATAATTTAGACCTGTTTGGATTATTTGATCATTGTGATAAATATTAATATTTATACTTAGGCTATGACATAGTGATGCCCACTGGTCTGTTTTTCCCTTTTCTAAATAATCATTTATAAGGGCCTGTTTACTCTCACTTTTAAATAGAACGTTCTAAATGAGGGTATGAGGGGTCCATTCATTTTAGCGCATCAACTTTTGTAGCTTCTGTTTCAACTGCTCAGCAGCTTTTTGCTTGCTTCCCAGTCTTGGCCATTCTACATAGTTGAATGACTGAATGAGTAGTCAGATATTAATTAACATGTGTTTGAGTTTAAGGAATACCTGATATCAGAATTAATATCTATTTTAATAATTAGAAAGGACTCTGGGATATCATTCAGAAAGACGGAAAACAGTAAAAAAGTGATTTTAAAACCACAATTATATGTTTAAGATTTGAATTCCTAGTTCCCAATGAAACTTCATCAGCGTTATTAACCCATTGTCATGGAGTCTATTCTGACTCATAGTGACCCTATAGGACAGAGTAGAACTACCCCATAGGGTTTCCAGGGAGCAGCTGGTGGATTCGAACTGCCGACCTTTTGGTTAGCAGCTGAGCTCTTAACCACTGTGCCACCAGGGCTCCTCATCAACATTAGAGGTCACTTTTCTCAACTCACATATCTACACTATAGATTTGGTTTATTTTCATAAGTGAACAGGAAATATGTAGCTAGAATTATACGGTCCTAAGTGTCAATAACAGTAGCTTACTTAATTTAATGCAAGTTACTAAAATAGTTTGGAAAATAAAATTTCAGTCTTACTATGGAAAAGAAGATAGATTTAAGCACTGAATATTTTAATCATTAGTTTTTGTAAATCTGCAGGATTTTAATCCTTTATCCAGATGTGCTTCAAAATTCAGAATTCTTTTTAACTTTAATAGAAAGTAGATTTATCACATAATATCCCCAGCAGAGTCTGGGGTAACACCTCCTAGTAAAATACATTAATAGTTCTTCAGTTTGTACAGTGACGTATAGGAATATTCACACTCAGTGGAATAAAGAAAGACCACAAATCTCATGTTCAAATTATTTGCTACCAAATGAATTTAGGTCTGCTCAGGTTTTGCCACCAAATGAGTTACAAGAAACTTTGGTTTTCAGATTGGGTTTCTGGATTACTCATGAACCTCAAAACTATCAATTCAATCTTACTAAATAGGAGATCATACTTTAATAACTATCTGATAAGTCATTTCATTTTATATTTTTTTCTTTAAAGTTACTTTTTCCTGTATTAAAAGAATGTCCTGCGTATGTGTTGCTCAAAGAAATTTCTGATGCTGGAATGTCTTTTAAAATATGTGTTTTGGGTTTTGGCTTTTTTTTTTTTTCTTTTTTTCTTTTTTTTTGTGGGGTTTGTGTGTTTTACAAAGTATATATTTTGGTAATCTACAGTCCATCTTCCCAAACTGGATTTTCAAATCACTTGTTTTTTCTAAGCTCTTGTCACCACCACCCTCCCCACCCCCCAAACTCCTTTGATCATGTCAGTTGATCTACTCTGGCTGTAGGAGTGTTTCTTACAGTACAGCAGCCTGAACCATATAGGTGATTCCAGGTACTGGGGCACCGCGGTTTCTCTGGATAAGAAGTGGACTCATAAAATTTTGGGTTATTTCATCTAAATTCCTACCCCAAAGAATTGGTTAGTAAGAAGCTACTAAGCATAGTTTCTGACCTTTTGTCTAAACGCTTCTGTTGTTAGTTGCCATTGAGTCACCTCTGACTCATGGCAACCTTACGTATAACAGAACGAGACATTGCCTGGTCCTCTGTCATCCTCACGATCATTGTTAATGTTGGAGTCCATTGTTGCTAAACACTTCTAGCAAGGGCAAATTCAACAACTTTCCAGATCAAGTTACTCTGCAGTTGGAAAACTTGGTTGGAAAGTTTGTCCTTAATTGAACCTAAAGCTGCCTCTTTAAATTTAAACCTACTTGTTCCTACTTTGCCCTGGGAAGCATACTGAATTAAGTTTTCTTGCCCTTCAACATCACTGTCCTTCAGATGTTTGAAGTCCTGTTATGCTTCCTTTCCTAGTTCAGTTCTAGTTTAAAAATGCTTAGTTTTTAATCATATCTCTCACATGACTATTCTCCCTTACATAGATTTTCTTGTTTTTCAGGTGCTCTATATATTAAATTTATTTTTAAGCACTTGATTCATACATTTAGAAATTTGAATATTTCTTGTAAATACTAAATTTTTATTTATTTTTAAATTTAAAATATCATTGGTTTCTGAGGGCTTTTTTCCTTCCACTACTAAATATTTTTGTGACCTCAGACCAAAGTTTCTTTATTTCTAGAATGAGGTTATAATAAGAGATAATCACCAGGGGTTCCTCCTGATCTAAAAACGTTAAGTTCTGTGAAATGACTGATTCTGGATTTGGTCATCTGTCACAATAACCATCTTGCCCATCTTTGTATGAGTTGCATACTTGACTACCATACCATATCTCAAGAGAGACTCACAATCTAAAAACTTTCTACCTTCCTACTTCAGTCCATTCCTAGAGATTTAGGAAGGTTTGGTCATTTTTGTTTTATTTCCATTATTTAGCATTTGGTTAGATTTCTGAGTTTTAACAGCAAGCATCTTGATTTGAGATCTTCTCAGTTTTCTGTATATATAATAATTAAAACGTAGTTCAGGTTGTATTTGCCCAAATTGAACTACCTTACCCTTGTCCAAGCTTTCCTATTACTCACACAGCCTCTTGTTGAGTTGGAATTTTATTCTTCAGAATTATAAAATATTACATTTTATAGCTGAAAAGAACCTTAGTGATTGATCACCTAATTTAATCTCTTTTATATAGATACTGAACCCCGAAAAGTTAAATACTAAGCTAGTTATGCTAGAGCTGAGGATTGAAAGCAGGGTCTCCTGGCTCCTAGGCCTGTGGTTTTTAGTATCAATTCCAGCTTGTACGTTGTACTGTGCCTTTCTTCTGGATCATTTATCAAAAATGTGCCAGAGAAATTTCCTAACTGGACTATGGAGTATAGAGGTAGCTAACAAATAGGCTTAAATCTATGTTAGGAGGAAATTAACAGTTGTTAGAAAGTGAAATTCACAGAACTCTCAGAAACTCAGGATTAAGAATCTGATTTAAATAGGGCAAAAATATTTGGAATCTCTATTCAAATTGATTTCCAGTTTATTATCACTAAATTTTAAATTAAAATGTACACAAATATCAGCAAAGTTCTATAAAGGAATATGTTTATTCATATAAATGAAGTTTTGCAGGTATATGTCTTCAGGGAATGCTACATTTGTTTTTCTACATAAAAGGGTCTGTTTTTCAAAAAATTTACTGAAGATCTAGGGGATCCTACTAGAAAATTCCAGACTTAGGCAACTCACTCAAAGTTATGTTATTTAAGAGTAACCCTCAATAGTATCGCATAGTATCTAATTATCTGGCAATTATATCTAATAAATTAGGAATTATTAGGTTGAAACAATTGTTTTTATAGATTTTTTTAAAACATAAGAGTAAGCATTGTTTTAATCATGAACATCTTTCAGGGTAGCATTAGTTTTTGTAGAGTTTTGAAGTTTTTGTGATATGGAAATATTCGTGTTAACAGAAAGTTACTTTTATGACAGTATTTAAGGATCAGCTTATTATCAATAGACCTCCTTCCTATAGATTTAAGATTTGAGAACCGCAAACATAATAGGAAAAGAAAATCATCCAAAGACAGGTATCAACTAAACAACATATTTGTAACATTGAAAAAAACCAGTAGAATTTTTCCAGTGAGAAGTTATTTGCTTTTTTTGCCCTTGTTGCCCAAGAATTTAGTTCAGCTTAAGTATTAGAGCGTATGTAGACACTAATAACTTACTAAGATTTACTTCTATATTGTTTCATAATTTTCTGATCCATTTGAAATATGTTAGAATTTATACCTAAACGTTTCCTAGTTGTACTAGGCAGAAGCAATATCCTGGAGGACAGAGAAAGATTCTTCACGAGTCATGAGTGAAAAGTATAAAACTTAATGAAATGATATTTTTAACTAATTTATCAAAATGCAGTTATATAACAACAGCAACAACAAATTTAGATGACAGTATTTTGAAAATATTACAACTTTAGATTGAGGAAATTTGCATGATTTATAGATTCCCTGGTACCCAGGGGTGCATGAATACCCCTTTTTTGTTTTAAAATAATTCTTACCCATACATAACAGGCTTCTTAAAGAAGCCTTTAAGTCAGATGTATTGTGATTGTATGTACTCCCCCCCACCTTTTTTTAATTGGCAAAAAAGAGAAAGGTTTCCTTTTTAAAAACTGCACACACTTTTTTGGGGGGGTAATAAATGAACATTTTTTTGTTTGTTTTTTTTAGAACTGAGCTCTCCATAGACAAACATAAGTAGCATAACACAGTGTCTTTCCTCAGACATCATTCTGTACAGTAAATCAGCATAAACAACTCCGTTCTTATTGACTGGATTTTTTCCAGGTGGGTTAATTGGGTGGGGAAAATTAGTTAATTAACCTTAACATTTGGAGCCTCTTTCCTTCCTGTTAAAGGATGGGTTCTTTTAAAAAAAAAAAAAAAAGGATAATAAACCAACAACCTATCTTTCATAGCATAGAGGAAATTTTTGTAATGACTAAAATTTTAAAATATGTAGAACAGTTACTGTTTATACACAGAACTATTAGGGATCATCTGAATGCATTGAGACAATAATAGGGATAAAATACAAATCAAATGTTAATTATCAGATTTATTTTCAAGCTCAGTCTAAAGTTGAATTCCAGATCTGTGGATTAAAAAAATGCTGGTATTACCTGGCTACACTGTCTTGCACAAGTGTCACAGCTTTACAGAAATAATGGTGTTGAAACTTGGACAGGGAGCCGTTCTCTTTGCTGTGTTTAACTCAGGAAGCTTAATTTTGTTTTTCTTTTAAACTCAAGCCACTCTTCTAAAATGTGGTAGCAGAAATGCTGAAATTTTCATTTGGGAATGATCTTTAGCAGGTCATGAACCATTGTCAGGCGCTTTAATTTTGAACAAATCTTCTTAATACTAAAGTATGTTTTAGTATTGTAAGATGTATATGATAGCTATGCATTTTTATAAAAGTGTTTCCTCATTTTATGTTCAGTATTTACAGCCGAACAATACCAGCAACATCAACAGCAGCTGGCACTAATGCAGAAACAGCAGCTTGCACAAATTCATCAACAGCAAGCAAATAGTAATTCCTCCACCAACACTTCACAGGTGAGGGATTTGTCTGTCTTATGATTATCCCTCATTGTTTCCCACCAGAGTTCATCTCTAATTATCAACTGTTGTCATAGAACCTTGCATCTAACCAGCAGAAAAGTGGCTTTCGCCTGAATCTACATCATAGCCACTCTATACAGGGTTTAGAAAGAACATTACAGGTGAGTATAGAAGCTGTTGACTCTGCTCCCTATTTTTAAACAGTAGAACTTAAAATTAAGCATAGTTAATGAGATGGAGACCCCACTTGATCTCTAGTCCATTAACGTACCTCTTTAATATATAATCCTACGCAGATCATAATCTTGGGTATTTTAATTAAGATTTTTTTTTAATTATCACACTAAAATAACCTCTTTTACTATTAATAAAAAATCACCTTTAAACCTAAGCATGATAAATGTTTGCCATTTAAACATATTTAGGGCTTAAAGACTGAGATTTGAGTCTAAGCATTGCAGCAAAAAATCATTTTAAAAAATTCAAGGGGTGTTCCGGTTACTAGGCTAAGTTATGATATTTTTTGTTACTTCCATTTCTAAAAGGATAATTATTACCTAAAGATGCCTTTGGTTGTATGTGTATATAGGTGTATATAAGTAAGGTTAAGGAAATCTGTATATTCATTTATTCATTATCTGTATTTGCAGAGCACTAAAATGTTTTACCAACATTTTTTGTCCAACACTTTGTGTTGGAGGTTTGCAATTTCCACATAACAAATGATTTATTTTGGTAATTGACTTGTACATGTTATATATTGTCATATTTGAAGATCAGAATTTATAATTCCTGAGTTATAAAGTCATTTGTTGTTAAGTACCATTGAGTCGATTCCAACTCATAGCAACCCTACAGGACAGAGTAAAACTGCCCCATGGGGTTTCCAAGGGGCAGCTGGTGGATTCCAACTTCTGACCTTTTGGTTACCAACCGAGCTCTTAACCACTGCACCACCAGGCCTCCGTAAAGTCACTTATTATTCCTCAAATATATGACTATCAAAAGAGGTGAAGAGATTTTAGTGATTGGCCACTATCTTTTAGATTTAAATTGATTTTGGTATACCTCTGTAGGTATAATATTAACTGAGAGACTAAGTGATTCTGATTAGATTTGTTTTGCATTTTCTTTTTAGGGTTTTGTTTCCAAGACTTTGGATTCTGCTAGTGCTCAATTTGCTGCTTCTGCTTTGGTGACATCAGAGCAACTGATGGGATTCAAGATGAAGGATGATGTGGTGCTTGGAATTGGGGTGAATGGTGTCCTTCCAGCCTCAGGTAAGGATAAGGACACTTAAATTGTTTTGATTGTATTTATAGCATATCTGTAATACAGACAGCAAAGTTGCACATTGCTTAGATACATCTTTCTTTTTCTCTCTAGGAGTATACAAGGGCTTACACCTCAGTAGTACTATGCCAACAGCACTTGTACATACAAGTCCATCAACAGCAGGTTCAACTTTGTTACAGCCTTCAAATATAACACAGACTTCAAGTTCCCACAGTGCACTGAGTCATCAAGTAACTGCTGCCAACTCTGCAACAACTCAGGTTCTGATTGGGAACAACATTCGATTAACTGTACCTTCATCAGTTGCCACTGTAAACTCTATTGCTCCCCTGAATGCACGACATATACCTAGGACTTTAAGTGCTGTTCCATCATCTGCCTTAAAGCTCGCTGCCGCAGCAAACTGTCAAGTTACCAAGGTTCCATCTTCATCCTCTGTAGATTCAGTTCCAAGGTGAGTAGTTTTTTTTTTAAGGGTAAAGCGATTGAAAGTTATGAGATCTAACTTAAATTCTCTGACATTGCTCTTATCTAATTCTTTGTGTTTTCTATTTTTTTCTTTTTCTCAGTTTAAAGAAGTATAGATGAGAACTGATTCCTCATTTATTCAAGAACTAAACAGATGAATGTTATAATTCAATATTAGTTGAGAATTTAAACCAAATGATACAGTAAAATGTTTACTTACATGTTTTGGATATCCCCTGCTTAATACAATAATAACTTATAATACTTCCATTTTTCTTCCACTTTTGGATTTTCAGTCTTTAAACTAGGAGTTCTCTTCAGAGTATTTCTTTTATTTATGATTTCTTCCACAGCCTACCATGTAGAGAGTTAGAGTTGATAGAATCATGCCTAGTATACTAAGCTGTTGTTAATAATGTAAATACTATAAAAGCTTACAGTACTCGCGCCAGTTGAACTTTTAATCAGACCATGATTTTCTATGCTAACATGTTTTCTTGGGTTTTAGTAAACCGTATAGAATGTTTGTTCAGGTTCTATTGTTTTAAATATTAATGATAATTAAAATCTTGCTGTTTATAAGGTACTATGGGAGAAATAAAAAGAGAAAGGCAAGAAGTTTTCAGTTTAATTAGAAGATGAGCATAAAGGTGTGGAAAGTTAAATAATGTTAACTCTAAATAGCGGAAAACCGTTCTAAAGGTATCACAAAGCATTATATATGTCAATTCATTGTATAGATGATGGCTGTAATTTCAGTATAAGGAGAGATCTTTTCACACGAGGTATATTCTGGGAATGTTCTACAAGATGAGATCAGAGGTTTGGTTTGGTTGGACAGAGAAGAGAAGGAAAGGGCATTTCAGGCACATGGAGTGGAAGAAGTAGTTGGGAATATATAAGTGTATTCAGAGGTTAACGAGAAAAATAGTTTGTCTAGAGGTTTGAGAAGGTTAGTAGTTGAAGTTGGAATGTCAGGAGGAGGCCAGACTGTGGAACACCTTGAATGTCAGACTGATACTTAGACTGCTGCAGCCAGAAGTGACCCAGAGGGAGGAGCAGGGTTTGTAGCAACAGATTATAGCCTTTATGTTCCAAACCTGCCCATTCCTGTCTGCTTCTGAAGTTAAGTAGTAGTCATTGTCTACTCAGTACTAATCCATTCTTACTAATATTCTGGATCCAGTAAAAGCCAATCAGTTACAGTTCTGACTTAAATGTAGAGTATCATAATTTTCATTGCTATAGAATTGTATAACCATGGAACACTAGCAATGGATGGAACTTTCAAAATCACTTATTTTAGTTCCTTTATTTTAAAGATGAGGAAACTGAGATCCAGAGAGGTTAACTGATTTCTCCAAGGACGCTTAGCTGCCTAGGTGATAGAACAATAACTGAAACTCTAGTCTTCCGTGTACTAGTTCAGTAGGTGTCCTGCTCAATCCTGTTTAACAGAACTCTGACTTAAAGTTCTGACATGAACCTCGGTCATGTTTGTTTGTTTTTAAAAAATTCTTATAAATTTAATACAGGAGGAAATTGAAACTACAAACTGAAACTTGGGAATTCTTTATTTTTAACGTAGAGGCTGCTTGGGTGCTACTAGAGTTTTGTTGATAATATAGTTGACCACGGAATTTATATCAGATACAAGCTTGATTTCTGGTTGTATACTCCTGATAATAAACTATAAAGGTTCATATTTCTTTACTTGGTACCTTACTCCCAAAAGACACGAATTATTCCTATTATTAAAATTAATTACATTTTTTATTGAGAAGATAGTCTTGGTCTGTAAAATTTGTATGTTGCAGATAAGTAATTGATTGAACTTTATTTCAACAGGGAAAATCACGAATCAGAAAAGCCAGCATTGAACAACATAGCAGACAATACAGTAGCAATGGAGGTGACGTAGTTTCCTCGGGGATGGAACTGCAGCCTTGGGGACTTGATTAGGTGCTATGCATCAGTAGCATTTTGAATGCAAGGGATGATGGAATGCAGCACATGCGTTTCTGTGGCAGCTGTGGGGACTTGACAGCAATGCTCATCTCTCATGCTTCGATTTTTCTTTTCTTACTGTTAATAGGAAAAAAATCAACATCTGTAAATTAAGAATACAGCAATTATCTGTACAGTACTGCATATTTGTAATACCCTTGTATATATGTTACTTGAATACAGAAATGTTCATTCGTGATGCTTTGCACTTGGGGGTGGGGGGTGGGAGGGAAATAAATTGCAACAGAGAGTGTGAGATGTGAGATTGTATAGAGATGAGGTGTCATCACATCATGTGCATGGTGCGGAACCTGCTGTTTTATCTATTTATTGTGCCGTGTTTACAGTTTTTTGTACACTGTACCTTCATTGGTTCCTGTGCTGTAGTAAATGTGTTAGGTAGCTGTGGACTCCTTGGTATTTTGTAAATGGTATAACATAACTTGGTTCCCCTCTGGGTCCCTGAGTTTTCTGTGTATCATGTGAAAAAAAAAAAAAAAATGGTGACATACATACAGAATTTTA